CTTTCCAACCTAGTGATTCTGTGATTTCCATTTAATGACCTGCCGGAATTTAGCAAACTTTTTTTCATACTAGATTCAACTTCTGGATAAGCTGCCACACCCAGAGGCTTGCAGAAGTTGGAGTCAAGTGAGCAGCACTATTTCTGAGTGACTTTTTTTACAAACATGACTCATCTGAATCTGGCAAAGGGAAGGAGGAGCCACTTGGAACATCTGCACTCCAGGTGACACCAAATGACGGAATATGATCACCATGCTGGGGAGGTAAGGATGTCTCCCAACAGCATTGTGTCAAATTTGTGCGTATACACAGTGGAAACAGAACTTATTTCCATATCCAGACCAGTATCCCACCTCATTTTGGGTAATATTCCTGACAGATTAATTGTCTAATCCATAGTACCACTGGTAACAACTGTGTCAACAAACTACTGCAGTATTCTGGTAACATAATATGGGGAACGTTTCTGCCTGTGGGTTTCCTTTTGTTCTTAAAATACCTATAAACCTGGCTTTTGGCTTCGAAAGATCACAGTACCCTGCAAGAGAGTGCTGTGATTGAATGCTGCCCACAGGGAATATTACCCTGTGTTGAACATAGTTCCTTTCCCCAACACTGTGGATTTCTGATGGGTTAGAGAAAGCAGGGTATGAATCATTCAAAGATTTCTAATACAAGCACTATCCAATAAATACCCTTCCCCCACTTGGAAAATCTCTGGCCAAATACTGTCCCTCTGTTCCAGCTCCTCTTTGCACGCCTCCCTGTTTCCGGATGGGCCCTGGCCCCCAGCCCTTATCTCCTCCAGCCCCTGGGCTGTTTACAGAGAGCAGTTATAAAGAGGCTGACCCAGCAGAGAGTGGAGGGGAATTACAAGGTGCAGGCAAACAGCAGCACCAGACCAAGCTGGGTGTCTGCTTGACTCACCGCGTCCTGCTCTGCACCATGAGGAAGGACGGGCTGCCCAGCAAACCAAACATCTTCCTCCTTCTCCTCTTCTTGCTTCCTGGAAACACCTCTCCCACCACAGAACCGTAAGCTACACGTGTGGAGTGGGGAGGGAGGTCTTAGTGCTCCTTTTTTCCTTCAATTTTCTTCCTTTCTGTCATTCTTCAAACTGTGCCAGTTTCTTCCACTCCTGCCCTGCATCCCGCTACTAGCCAAGCTTCTTGCATAGCTCTGCCAGTGCTCTCCACTCCCACCCTGCAGCACCCTGGTTGTCCAGCCCTGGGACCCCCTCCGCAGCTCTGCCAAGTGCTCACACGCCTGCTCTGCAGCTGCCTGCTAGTCCAGCCCTGGATCCTCACAACATCTTTGCCTAAGTATATTCCTTCCTAGAAACCTTCAAGTGCCTGGGTTTTTGTAGGCATGGTGGCAGAATCTACATACTGACCTTTCTTGTGGTATCCTTGTTTCAACACCGAGTTCTCTCTCCCCACTCTCCGTTGTTTTCAACCCGGTTTGCTCCCCTTTCTCCTATTTCTTTCAAGCCAGTTTGTTTCCCTTGGCAGCATCAGATGTACTTGTTTCCAAAGAGGATCTGTGACCTAGATTCTCTGCCTCTGGCGTGGAGCCTGGCATTGGCACCCTCTCCTGAGGCATCCACCTCAGGGCTCTGCAGACCAGCAGCACAGCTGCAGCGCCCGCTCTGCTGAGGGCCCCGTGGAGAGGGGCAGCCCGGGATGGCACGGGCAGACTGGAGGCTGGCATCCCCACCACAGGCTTGCCTGCCAGAGAGAGTTGCTCCAGAGCCTCTAGTCTGGATGGGAGCAGCCTCCCGCTTCACACCCTGGCTGCTGTCACGCACCGTGCCTCCTGCTGTGCCGGCAGAAGTGCAGTTCTCACCACCGCGGGTCTCATAATGCTTGCTACAGAGATTTCACGCCCACCAGCACCGCGGTAGTGTTAGCAGCTGGAGCAGAAGGTGCAGTGTTATTGCTGCTGCTTACTGTGTGGTCATAGGTGAACTGGTGACTGGCTCAGACTGAAGGACCTTTGACTCACACCTGTACCATCAACCCCTCATTCGTTGGCCCTGTTTGGCTGCTTCTGGGGTAGATCAGCCAGCCAAGTCTGCTTTAGGGTCAGGCTGAGCGCTCTGGTTTCCCCGCAGTAATCTGATGATACCCCTGCCTAGGATCAGGGGTAAATCTGTACTGCTCAGTCCTCTCCTCCTGTGAGCAACATGCTGCTTGTTGTCCCTGACCTGAGCACCATTTTGGGAGGGGAGAAGGAGGGAGGGGTGAGAGAGGAGGAGGAGGAGAGAGAGGCATAGTCAAGACCCACAGAATTAAGATAGGAGCCCAGTTGGCAGGCAATGGAATATGAGCAGTGAACTGCTAGGTAGGTGGAAGGGTAGTGGTTCAAAGTGCTGCAGGTAGATCAGATGCTGTGTACAACACAGAAGGGAAAGAAGGGAAGCTACCCTTGAACTGAAGACAAAACGAAGCTTCCAACCAAAGTTTGCTTCCTGTGCCCAGCACAAGTAAGGAGATAGATTCTTTCAGCAGCAGCAGTTGTGCTATTTCTGTTTGAGATGTGGCCATCTGCATAGGAGACACAATTAAGGTTCAGACTGGGTATTAGAAGAAAACTCACTCACCAGGTTAGTACAGCACTGGAATGGGTGACCCAAAGAGATGGTGGAAACTCCATCTATGGAGTCCTTTGCCAACAGTCCTGTTCCAGGAGACGAGTCGGACTTGAGACATCCAAAGGTCTCTTCCTACCAAAAAAATTATGGTTCTCTAACATACTGACAGCAAGATTTATTTTTTTGCTTGCTCTGGATCTGTTTTGGAAGAATTCAACAGAAGGTATTGTTCTATTTTGGTATGTGGCTGTGCATGCAAGCTGTTCTACAATAGGGTACATGCCTGGGAATATACTGCATATAGTCAGAAATGCAAGGTCATGATGGCATGTGAATTGACAGGTGTAGATATGAACTGATGAAAATGAGGAGATTCAGTAGCTTCTTTGGTTGGGTGTTTGTTCTAGGAAGTAGCTGAGAGTCAATACACAGAAGTTAGTCCATCTTAAGCTAGAATATATCCTTCTCTTTATAGACAAACTCATCATTTTTGCCTCAGCCACTTTCTCTAGGGTCTCCTATCCCTCCTTGATGCCTGTTTGTGTCAGAGTCACTGCCTCTGTTACCAGAACAGTTAGTTGCATGCAGGGAGGCTGCTGAGGTCTCTTTTGGCAGTCCAGGTGGTTTTTGTCCTGGAATGTCTATGGACTTTGTGACCCAAGTTATTTAAAGCTCTCATAGTACTTTAATTCATCTAGCTCTTTTCACCAACACATCTCAGAACTGCTAAAGGGAGGTCTATAAACAGCGTATTTCATATCCTTGTTTCAAAGGCGGGGAAGCTGGTGTAGGGGGAAGTTCTGTGCGTTGGCCAAAATTTCAGGAGAACAGTGAACAGGAAGAGGAATGAGGCCAAATTCCCCACAAACTAGGTCACGCTGTCCCTTGGGTAGACGCAGTGTTACAGTCAGATTGCCAGTGCCACTGGCAGGGGGCAGGGGCAATGAGATTAGGGGAAGCGGGCATGGGGTGAAGCTGTGGTGAGAAGGCTGTGAAGGAAGGGTAGCTCTGGAGCACGCTGATAGTCACGAGCTGTAAGTCACTCCCTGGGTGGCTGGAGCTCCCTCCTTCCACTGCTTCCGCAGCAGCATGGATTGACCAGAGTTGCCAGCTGGTTCCTCACGAGGCTTTATCCCATTGCCTGGTGATGAGGGAAATGGAGGTACTCCCTGGATCCCACTGCCTCCACAGTACCTTTAGGACTTCCCAAAATCTCAGAGCACAGACAACAATGTACCTCTGGATGGGCCTAGACATCTCTCTCCCCAGGGCTGGCACCATCTGGCAAGGTGCACATTAGCCTTCCCCAGTTGAGGGCCCATGGAAAAGTATGAGCAGTCCTGACCACAGGTGTCATCCCATGCATACAATGATTAATATACCCTGCAGACCAAATTGCCACCAGAACCTCCTGCTGCTGCATCTGGATAGCCTGAATGTGCACGGGGAAAAAGGAATAGCAGGCCCATAAAAATGATCCAGCATCAAACCAGAGGACTACATTGACTCTGTATTCTGTCTGTGTTGGTGGTCAGTCGTAGGTGCTGAGAGACAGAGTAGAGGAGAAAGGCAAGTACTGTGGAAATGAGTTTTCTGTCTGCTGTGGCCTTATGGAGCTCCTATCAGAGGTTCTAGGACTTATTGTGGCAGGGATTACACCTGTGCTGCTAGGTTTTCTAGCCATTTCTGGGCAATGAATTTACCCAGGACATTTTTAATAACCTTCATATCAGGAGTAGCTGATCTTCTTGCCCTTATGAGCTTCATTCCTAATTTTATGTAGCTGGTACCATAGGGCAGATACCATATGCCTTGGAGAGTTACTGGCAGATGGGAAGTGACAGCTTCTTTTAAGCGCCTGCCCTTGGTTGAACATGCAGGTAAGGCCCTAATTACCCAACTCCATGGCACCTGCTGGCTTCTTTTGTTCCTCACCCACAGAGGTGATGCAGCCTGGGTATACATGCCCTTCTTGGACTGCTTGAGAGCACCAGAAGGCTCAAGAGCCACAGTCTAGCCATACCAGAATTGTACATTTGGATTTTGCAGCACCTGGTAGCATTAAGTTCCTCAGTTTGATTTTGTACATTAGTGGAAAAGTTTCTGCTGCCTTCTATTTTTAAGCCATCTGCTTAATATCTTCACCTGGTGTTGTTTACTACACATGTTGCCACAGGTGGTGAACAAACTACACTTTCTTCTGTGCACATCATGACTTTATAGCTTTCTGTCATGCCTTTTTCAAAGTTGAAGACTCTTAATCTATGTAGTGACTCCTCCTATTCCAGATTTCAGATCACCTCTGCCATCTTTCACCGAATTTTTTCTGCTAAATCCATTTTTTAAATGGGAGCAAAGCAGCACACCATTTGTGAGATGTGGAAGTACCTTGCAATTATACAATGGCAAAACGATGTGTTCTGATTTTTCCTCTATTCCTTTCTGAACAGTTCCTTGCAGTCCATTTGTTATTTATCATTGAATGAGGGTTTTCCAAGGGTGATCAACAGTGTTCATGTCTGAGTGGTGCTAGCCCATTTAGTGATATAGAATATACACAATAGCATATATACTGTTACGGTAATATTTTCTTCCTCTATTGATTGTTTTCCCTTTATGAACAGTTCATTTGCCATTTTTGCTACACAGTCCCACTATATGACAAAAGTTTTCCGCACATATGTAAGTCAGCTTTAGGTATTTTCTTACCCTGGACAATCATCAGAAAATGGCACTTCCCAGAAAATTTAGAAGTGTACTGAACAATAGGGGTCCCAACACAGATTCCGGAGATTTTCACTGGTTCTTACTCTCTGTGTCCTATTTTTTAAACAATTAATCCAGGTCAGAATTAATAATTTGATTTATTAGTAAAAATTAGTAGAATGATCCCTTTTATTGAATGACAGCTTCGTTTAAGGGTCTTTTGTGAAGGATCTTTGTCAAAAGCCCTTTGAAGATGCAAGTACACTTCTGTTGCAATAAACCACTACTCTGAAATCTTTTGTGTACTCATCTTAATAAGGTCCCAAACTGCAAGCACTCACATTTTTGCTCAGCATGAGAAGGATTTGCAAACCTGGTTAGGCCAAGACAGGAGCAGCCAGACATTGGGTGGGTTTTTCAACCCTAAAAAGGCTGAATTTTCAACCTTTTTTAACTAATGCCTTTGAGTTTCAATAGGATATTGTGGGATATACAAAAATCAATTAACAGCCTGGAACCTTTCACACTGTCATTACTCCCTGCTGTGAAGCTGAACAAAACATCCTTTGTAACGGACTCTCTATTAGCATAGAAATTGTTCCTTCTACAGCAAGCATTTTCTGGGTTTTAGGCTAATTAGTTAGGCAGTTTAATATGTATAAACCCAAAATAAAATGAATGCTTATGTGTATATGCACTGCATTTCACAGGGACAGTAATGGATTAGGCATGCTGACTTGTTAATTTCCTTTCACTTAATACTGTTTCCTTAAAACCATTTCACATTTCTGATCATTCTGATCCTTACTTCCCCTTCTTCCTAGGCAGTATATGGTGCTACTGCCCTTTCTGATACACACTGATTCTCCTGAGAAAGTCTGTGTTCAGCTGACCCACCTGAATGAGTCCGTGACGCTGAGCGCTACACTTGAGTATCAAGGGAAAAACAGGAGCTTGATTGATGACGTGGTGTCGGAGAAGGACTTGTTCACCTGCATCCCTTTCTCTGTGAGTATCTCATCCTTGTGGGATGATCCCTTGTGTTTATTGATGTGACGTAGTAGATCTAAACAGTCCAGAAATGGGAAATAAGGCACGTTGCAATCAAAGACTTCTGAACTAAGCCAAACAAAAAATGAATTTGATGTGGAAAATTGACTGCAATTAGCCTTATGAGGAATAATTTTCTACCATTATCAAATTCTGTGCCCCACATGACATTTCTGTGCATGCTGGGCTAGGAGAACTCTTTTGGGATCCATCATCCTAGAACTTTGACTGACAGAATATACCCCATGACTTTTCATGATTTGTGGAAGCCTCAGAGGAAAAATAGTAAAGTGGAATGAGACCTGTAGAAGCTGGGGAATGGTTCAAGACAGTGAGTTCCATGAGGTTATTTGTCGTCTCCTGGAGCTTATTCATGATTGTTTCTTGCAGAAGGCTGGTTGGAGAGTAATGTCTGGTCCCACTCCCTAAATAATGAATCTGGGTTGATTTCCATTTTCATGAATCATAGAATGGAACAAGATCAAATTCAATATATATCTGAGGAAAGTGTATATATGAAGGAAGGGAAAAGGCTTCCAGTATTGGAACGAGAGGAAGAAGCAGCATGGAGAAAACTCAAGGAAATAGAGGAGATCTATCATTGCAACAATTCCTGAAGGAAAAAGATTTTCTTGAGACAGAGGAGACAAGCCCTCTAGGTTCACGTCAGAAAATCACGTTTTTCTCTTGTTTTCAGAACCAAGTCTTTGGTGTCCCTTTAGGGAACTTTCAGACCTAGCTAATACTCCGTCCTTCAAAGGCTTAGTGCAGTGGGGTGGATCAGTAAAGCTGTTATCCTCTTCATTTTCCTTAGCTTCCAAATTCCAATAGCACATCAGTGGCATTTCTCACTGTGATGGTGAAGGGGGAAACACTGCAGTTCAGGAGCCGCAAGTCGGTGCTGGTCAAGAATTCTGAGAGCTTGGTCTTCGTCCAGACAGACAAACCCATCTACAAGCCTGGACAGACAGGTATGGGGAATTGGGTTGGTGTTGACCCTGGCAGCACAAAATCTTATGGTCTTCATTTCCCAGAGGCCCCATAAAGTTTTCGGACTTCTTCATGGGGGAAAATAAAGCCCATAGTAAATCTTATTTCTGTCAGTGGAGATCTAGGGCATGTGTACTTTCATCATTCTTATTCTCCATCCTCCAGGTACAGCATTTCAGGCAGCCGTAGGCACAGATTCACATTCATTCTACTCAACTAGAGGCATGAATCTGGGATGACTTCAAAGCATAGTCTCCCTTGGCTGCTCCTGAATCAACAAAGCAGGACAGACACTCCCAAGGGACAATTCAGTTCAGCCAAGACCTGATTATCTTTCTAAATTTATCTGCCTCTCACCATCTGCAAGACAAAGAGCCTGAAGTAATGGCTTCCATAACTTAGGGATCTCAGTTCAGAGCCTGTTGATCAGTGGAACAAACAAATTATTGAAACACTGACATTTCCTGGTAATGGCTACAAATTTAACAGTGGAATTTCCTTCTTTTCCATTACACTCTTCAGTTCTGTTTCGGATCGTCTCTCTGGACAAAGACTTCTACCCACTGAATGAGAAGGTAGAGCCATAATTCCTTGTTGCTAACCAGATGGTTTAATTCCCAATTAACACCATTACTGTCATCATCCAGAACCACTGAGGACAGCCTTTAAAGCATATGATACTTTCTTACTCACACCATCCTTGACTCATTCCGTACTTTGTCCTGGGACACACTCCACCTGTCTCTATTGACTGAGAAACCTATCTCCTTCTTCAAAGGGTATAGGTGTTCAAAAAACAGATTTGCAAAGGCTAAGCATGTAGGCAGGGATGTCATTACTGAAAAAATGGGTTGGATAAGTTTCCATTGAAAGTGACAGTTTGCAGATCTTTCTGGTAGTGGGTGCAATCACGTGCTTGGAGGCAGAGAGAGCAGCATGACAAGGGCTTGGGTTTAAGGAACTGGTCACGGGTGCAAGTCTACCTTTTAGCTTATTTAGCAATCAGTTCTTCACGCACATCACAAGTTCTTTGAAAACTCTTACTTCATCACATTTTCCTACTGTGGTAAGACAGAAAGTTCGGGCCCTAAAATATTAATAGAAGAGATTCCCCTAACCATCAAGAACTAAGGAAATAGAGCAAGCACAGAAAAAGGAGAGGCCAAAGGACTTCTTAGAAGGGTTTTTTTCTGCCCTCCAGTCCAAATCTGGAAATTACTTCCATCCATATGTAATCCATATTTCTAACTCTGATTTTCTTTTGTTCTTTCCCCACAGTTTCCATTTGTCTATGTTCAGGTGAGTGGATAACTACGTGTGTATTATTTCAGCAGAATGTGCAGGCAGTGGTGTTTTCAGGCTCAGGTACAAAGGAAAAAACATGGGCACATGACCCTTTTCCTTTGTGTAAAGGAAGGCTGAGTAGTTGGGCATCAAAATAAGTTCCAGCAATGATTCTTTTATTGGGAAATGTGCTGTAAGACCAAAATAGTTAATCAGTTCAAGCCATGCTGTGAACAGAATTGCACTTGCCTAGAGGTCGTATCAGAATGGCTTATTCCTCTTCCCGAGGAGAACTAAGATTTTCTTTCTGTCAAGTGTGGCTGAAACCACAGGATTGCATTAAACAAACTCCAAAACTAAAGAAACAAAATTATGGAAGTAGACATCCCCTATCTTCCACAGCATGCCCTTTTTGTCTTTTTTTTTAAATGGTTGACTTCAGTGGCAGACAAAAGTTAATGGGAAGGATGTTTCTGTCAGTGATTCAGGTACCCACTTTTACAGCTCATAAACCAGAATTTACAATTATTATCTAGGACATCTTCTAGTGGAAAACTGATGGGAAGGACCCAGTGATGGACCCTGAAGCCATAATAGCAGCACCACCAATGCTGAACACATTGCACAAATCTTAAGTTAATTTGCATGATTATGGATCCTGTGTAGTCAGTCCTGGCATTGCTCCTTACTGCTTGGGATTGCTGTCTCCATTCTGCCTTGCCTCTCTCTAGAGCCGAGTGAGTTGTCACAACGGAGGAGGTAGAAGGTGGGCCAGAAATGGGCTATGCTCCTCTTTTCTACCCTCCTGTCAGAGTCCTGTCACTCTCTCCCTCAGCAAACTACAAGAACAGAGCTGCAGAGCTGGTGGGCCACTGACGGTCTGTGAATATTTGGAGAAAGAAGAGTCAGAGAGTGTGTGGTGTGGGATAGCAGGTGGAGGAGAGCACCTCAGAGCTATCTTCTGCTGAGGCTCTCCCATGGGTTTGTAGAACAGGTCACTTCCCTTTCAATGAGATGATACTTGACTGAGTACAGAAATTTCATGAAAGGAACAAGAAGAAATAAATCCTAGCCACTGCCTCCAGAATCCCATATACCTTTACCTAACAAGCTCAATAATTTCATAACCTTTTTTTGTGTCAGTACCATGAAAAGCTTCATTTTTAAACCACTGGGAAGGCCATCCTGTGTTTTCAGCTCTAGCCTGTGCGGCATGGTGTTTGTCCATGCTGTTTAAGACAGCTTACGTAGGCCCTGTCCTCCATCCCCACCATCACCTCTCCCTTCCTCAATGCTCATTCTCAGTTCAGCACTGCCCTGTGTTTGGCTTTCACAGATGTCGACAAGGCAGTCTGGTAGACTGGGAAACTGGCAGAAAAATCACCATTTTTCTCTGGGATATTTTTTCCGACCAGATCAGATCTGCCAGTGCAGTTTACCACAAGCTTGCACAAAATATGGAGTGGCCCAAAGGAAGAAAGGTGACAACTTAAAGTCAGCAGTACTAAGGAAATAAATGTTCATCAGTCCACACTGTTAACATCACTAATTGATTGTAGTCAGCCACAAAGGCAGAAGTTAGTACAAGCCTATTACTTTTATTACCCTGACCTATCACAGAAATGGCAACAAGTTCATAAGCCCAGCTGTAAACGTTTTCTTGAATTCCTCCTCCAAGGAAGCTGGTGGTGTCCCTCACAATAAGTGGTGAGCTTTTCAGCAGGGTTGAAGTGTGGTGATGATGGGGAAGATTTGGTCGGAGCAGTGGTATGTGTTTTACTGACTGAGCCTTCCTCTTGGGGTGCTTCACGGGATGAAGACCCACTCTTCTGTCTTCTGACCAGTGACCACCAACTGGGGGATGTCATTCACATCCCATTTTCCCTAAGCCCTGAGGTTAAATCTCAGTGAAGTAAATGCACACAGTCACATACTTTGAGTCACATACCTATCTAGAGTAAATAGACTTTTGGTGACAGCCAAGGTGCAATGCAAAGAGCAGGCAGAAAATGAGGACTTTAAAGATTAACCATCCTGCTGAGGAGCCCTGAGGAAGGGGTGCATCAAACTATGCAACACCACTGTGTTGGTTCAGTGACTTCTACAAGAAATTTGGGGCTGAGCTGATGAATTTGGAGCACAGCCTATTGATAGTCGGTTCATAATGAGCAATACTCAGCTGTAGTAGTGACGAGATTTCAGCTCCAGCATTAGGAGTGAAGAGAGACAAGAAGGCAGAGGTCTCAGCTGGATGCACATATGTGGGATATACTTTCCTCTGTTCCTGTCCCCACTCCCCCACCCCACCACAAGCTTTGGACTCTTACACATGTACATTTCTCACTCCTATAGGTAGATCAGATGTCTCATTCCTCAGCAGATTATGCACTGGTACTCAGACATTCGGTATTCCAGACATCAAAACAAATCTTTAGCAAGCTGTATAGCAAGGAAGGAGACCGAAATTTCCTTCTTTTCTCTCTGTGCTCCACTTACTCCTGCTATCAACCTCTTTATCTTGTTACCTTGCCAGTCTCTTTTTCCCAGCTTCCTGGCCCCACCCTTCATAAGCATGCAGATAGAGCTGAAGAGGAGACAGCACAGGAACCTCTAGGGTTAAAAAGCTTTCTTGCATGCTAGTTATGCAGAATTGACAGGGAAGTGCTCGCAGACTCTCACAGATTATTGAATAATCACAACTAGGCATTTCCCAGCCAGGATATTTATATACCGGGCACTTCACTGCTCTGTCCCTGGGTGTCTCCTGTACTGCCTTGTGACCTTCAGTTATCCTCACCTGCAGGATCCCCAGAGGAACCGTGTGTACCAGTGGCAAGAGGTGGAACTAGAGACCGGCCTTACACAGCTTTCCTTCCCCCTCGCCTCTGACCCTATCCAAGGCTCCTACAAGATAGTTGTGCAGAAGAGCTTCGCATCCCTTGTGGAGCACTCCTTCAGTGTGAAGGAATATGGTAAGGATAGGAGGTATGGGCTGCAGGTGGGGCTGAATGAAATGCCTTTTGCTGTCACCTCCCAATTTGGGGTTTCCTGGGAATGGCATGGAGGAGGGAGGGACTGAATACATAGGCAATGGGGTTCAGAGGGGCTGAGCCAGAAGGTGCTAGTATCAGAGGTGATTGCTCACTTTATGGCATCTGTGCAACCTGCCTGAGCTTGTATTTGCTCATAGTAATTTTTGGGAGTACAGGGTCTGACAGGCTTCCTGTGCATGGCTTGTGGCACCAATTTCAGCTGACTGTTTTAGTCACTTTTTGGTCCAGCAGCTTGTTGCAAGGAGCACTAGATACAGAGTTAAGTGATGACAATATTTTGGTGACCCTGTTTTGCCTCTCTCATCATATGCATCTGTTCTGTTTCTTCAGTTCTCTCTTTTGTTCCTCTTCCTCCTTGTTTCTGCAAAAGCTGAGAAAATATGTTTGGTAGGAAACTTCAGTTTGAAGAACAGTCCACAAATGTTCAAGTAAATGCAAACTGTCTGGTAGCAGATACTGAGTAAGGAGAAATGTGCTGACCCAGGGAGCACTCTAAACCCTAGATCTGTAATAAAACTTCTCAGGTGTTTGTAGACGTATACTCTGACTAGGCTGTGTGCATTTGAGGAGGCTGCTTGGCCTGTGCTCTGCACTCCAGGGCTCCCTTGAGCTGTACCTGGAGCCTAAATGACCCAGAGCATTGCTCAGAACCTGCTGTTTCTGGAATACACAGGGTGCAGACCCAAAGAAGATTGTCATTGGAGTCCATGGGAGCTTGCTTATCTGGTTCAAAGTCAGATATTGTGGCAAGCATGAACACAGTGAACAATCTGAACACAAACCAGGTTATAGGCTTCACCTTGCCATGGTGACAGATGGGTTCTGCCTACAAAGATCGCTTTGAACACCCCCAAAATCAAAGATGTATGTCCCTTTCTTAGCCTCCCACTAAATTAATTTTTCTTTTATTTGTTCTTTAGTCTTATCTGTATGAATCTTCCCTGTTACTAATTTTCTTACAGCCTTTTTGAGGAAAAGTGCCCTGAGGTTGAAACACTGAACTTTGCCTTTCATCCTAGAGGCAAATTTATGTCTAAACTGTGTAACCCAGGGTTGCTTTCCAGTTGGTGGGTCACTGTGTGCACCCTTTTTCCTCTTACTTCCTTGTACTGTGAAAAAAACTCAGGTGCACCACCTGGAAGCAAGCCATTACATGCTTCAGTCCATTCCTGGGCTTGAATAGTTGGGGGCTTAGGGTTGCAGGATGCAATATGAGAAGAGGGATGTATCCTGGGCTGCATCAAAAGCAGCATGGCCAACAGGTCAAGGGAGGTGATTCTGCCCCTCTCCTCCACTCTGGTGAGACACCACCTGCAGTACTGCATCCAGTTCTGGAGCCTTCAGCACAGGAAAGACATGGACCTGTTGGAGTGGGTCCAGAGAAGGGCCACAAAAATGATCAGAGGGATGGAACACCTCTCCTATGGGGGCAGGCTGAGAGTGTTGGGGTTGTTCAGCCTGGAGAAGAGAAGGCTCTGGGGAGACCTTATTGCAGCCTTCCAGTACTTAAAGGGGGTTTATAAGAAAGATGGGGACAGATTTTTAGCAGGACCTGTTGCAATAGTGTTTTCTGTATCAGAAACAGTGTGTCCAGCAGGAGTAGGGAAGTCATCGTGCCCCTGTACTCGGCACTGGTGAGGCTGCACCTTGAATCCTGTGTCCAATTTTGGGCCTCTCACTACAAGAAGGATGCTGAGGTGCTGCAGTGTGTCCAAAGAAGGGCAACAAAGCTGGTGAGGGGTCTGGAGAACAAGTCTTATGAGGAGCGGCTGAGGGAACTGAGATTGTTTAGTCTGGAGAAGAGGAGGCTGAGGGGAGACCTTATCGCTCTCTACAACTACCTGAAAGGGGGTTGTGGCGACAAGGGTGTTGGTCTCTTCTCCCAAGTAACTAGCAATAGGACAAGAGGAAGTGACCTCAAGTTTTACCAAGGGAGGTTTAGACTAGATATCAGGAAAACTTTCTTTACAGGGAGAGTGGTCAAGCATTGGAACAGGCTGCCCAGGGAGGTGGTGGAGTCACCGTCACTGGAAGTATTCAAAAAACGTGTGGACGTGGCACTTCAGGACATGGTTTAGTGGGCATGGTGGTGTTGGGTTGATGGTTGGACTTAATGATCTTAAAGGTCTTTTCCAGCCTTAATGATTCTGTGATTCTGTGATAGGACAAGGGATAATGGTTCTAAACTAAAAAAGGTTAGATTTCGACTAGATATAAGAAAGAAATTTTTCACAAGGAGGGTGGTGAAACACTGGCACAAGTTGCCCAGAGAGGTGGTAGATGCCCCATCCCTGGAAACATTCCAGGTCAGGTTGGTTGGGGCTCTGAGCAACCTGATCTAGTTGAAGATGTCCCTGCCATAGCAGGGTGGTTGGACTAGATGACCTTAGAAAGACCTTTCCAACCCAAACTATTCTATGATCCTATGTAACTTAATAGTGTGGAGCAGAATATGCCTTTTACTTGCCACCCTTTATATCAGGCTCTATTGCTGCTTCATCCACTTGAAAATATAGACCTGAGAGTCCATGACTCATTAGAGCTGTCTGGACATGCAGGACAGTTTCACATGCTGCATATTAGTGAGCCTAACAGCAGCTTGGGATCTCCAGAACACTAAGAAACAGACAATTATTCAAGCCATTTCAATGTGGTAAACGACACAGGTTGTGAATTTGTTACTCCATGTCTTAGCTGCAAATTATGTATTGTGAATCATGAAACACAACACACAGGGCCAGTGTCTCCTTCTGAATGTGCATATGTAAGGGATCTACACACCTGGCTGGTGCCAATGGGATCACATGAGCATGTGCTGCAAATGAGGGAAGGTAAGGGCTACAACCCTCTTTAAATTCCCTTTAATCCCCAAATGGCGGTCAAGGCTGAGAAAACCTAAGGAAAGGGTAGCCAAGCTGTACTGAATACCACAGAGAGGTGATGGTTCTTATTAAGATGATCCTGGCTCTGTCTTTGTGTTACTGTATGACAGTACACAGCTCTCCTTCACTCTTCTCATATCAGACTTTCTCTCTCCCATCTAGTGCTGCCCAAGTATGAGGTCCTGGTGAAGCTGCCGAAGATAATCACTATTAAGGACATGGAGCTTCCAGTGTCTGTCTGCGGTCTGTGAGTCACAGAGCTGGAGTAAATCTCTCTCATCCTTCAATCCTCCTTTCTGCTGAGGACTAGAAGAAGAGCGGGGGAAGGCTTTTCATACTTTTCCCAGGCATCTAGTGCAGGCTTGTTCCATCCTATCAAACCTGAGCCTGCGCTACTTGGCCTAAACAGTCAATGTGAAGGATCCTCTCTTTTCTACAGACAATCTTTTACTACATCCTTGCAGAGACCTCCGACCTGTAACAGATTTTAATCAATGATGGAAAAATCTCACCATGAAAATGATGGAAACATAATCACTAGAATCATTAAAATATCAGATTAGTCAGCCTTTAAGAAATATTAGGAAGTCATCCACAGAGGTCTTTAAGGAGAGGTGTCTGAGTGTGACTCTCTGACTGATTGTCTCACCATCTAGTATAATGTTTAATGCTTTCTGATTACAGGTACACCTATGGGAAACCTGTTCCTGGATTGGTGAATGTCCAAGTGTGCCGGAAATTTTCCCATTCTGCTTCAAATTGTTACGGAAAAGAAGCAGAAGCTGTGTGTGAAGAATTCACTAGGCAGGTGAGCCCCAAGATTAAAATGTAGAGATCTTTTTCTTATGGGTAATGGGCAATGTTGTCTAAAGGAGGACAAATGTATGACTGTTGGGAGACAGTAGAACATCAGAGATAGCACTCTGTCCAGGGAAAAGCACATGTTCTCAATGGAAAGCATTCTTAAGAGGTAAGTTATTAAACTGGGAACAGAACTGATAAAGAAAACGCCACAGCTGAAATCCTGACCCCATTGAAACTCTTGACACATCTCCAGTTAGTGACTGTGAGGTCCCTGCTATTGATCCCCAAACTGAGAAGAGAATCTGTGAAAGATTTTGTAACTGTGGGAAGGACTAGCAGGGAGCAAAGAGCAAAGATGATGAGGAGAAAACAGGAAAGCGGTATTGTATATGGGCCAAACACCGGAGAAAGGAGAAAGGGCAACAAGGAAAAGAGTGAAGACAACAGAAAAAACAAGAAGAAAAACAGAACTAAGGTAGGAGGGATTTAACAAGGAAACCGATGCACAGACCATCATGTGCCTTGGAGAACTGAATGTCAAGTATCTCAAAGAACACAGAAAATGCATGGATGAGACACTAGGAAACAGGCTCTAAATAAGTTCTGGTCTTGGAAACAAGTCTAGAACATAAGGCTGGGATTTTGTGAACGAAAGTTAAGCATGTTGGGTTTGCCGTATCTATTCCTGTCCCACAAAGCACCAAATTTGTTCACAGAACTCCAATTTTCTCTCCAAATCCCTGCTTAGGCAGACGCTCGTGGGTGTGTTTCTGGTGTAGTAAGGACCAAGATATTTCAGCTCCAGCGCAGGGGATATGAGATGAGCATTGATGTACAAGGCAAGATGACAGAAGATGGCACAGGTATGTATGACATGGAGATGGCAAAGTGATGGCAGGCTATAACAGGAGGGCCTGGCAAAGAGGAGGAAGGTGGAGTGACATGTCTAGAAATGCTGCCATTCATTAATAATCCCTCTACTGTGCTTTCTCTCAGGAATAGAGGTGACTGGAACAGGCTCCTGTGGAATCACATCCATTATGAGCAAAATCAGCTTTGACCTGCTGGACTCTCAGTACAGACCAGGGATCCCACTCTTTGGGAGGGTAGGAAACTTCTGAGACCCTCAACAAAGAATGGCATAACAAACTCACAAGTGCACAATCCCATTAGATGGAATAGCAGTGTGCAGATTACATGGTCCACCTTCCTCTGCCTTTGCACAGGCAGATGAATTACGTCAGTTGGGACACTAACAGACACACAGCCCTGAACCTCCTGCCAGTCAGCCCTTTACAGAATAGAAGGCCCGTTGTTCTGACACATGATAATAACATCAGGGAGCAGCAAACATGAGCTATTCCACAAGGGAACATTATCCAGGTGCAAAGGGTGACCATGACACAGGTAGGTGTAGTGACCTCATCAACAAGGGCACAGTCCCACAGCACCCAACCAGACTCAGCAGAGCAGGGATGGTGACAGTAGCAGGCTCTACCAACAGTCCAGTGACGACCAAACAATGTGAGGTGATGAGTCAGGGCTGAGCTCAACCAAGGAAGTCCAGTCAAGCAGATGGAAACAGCAGGAAAAAGAGCTGGGCATAGGTCTACCTCCAATGTAGCTTTAGTCAAGGACCGGGGCAAGGCACAAGTCTGAACTTAGAGTTCCTGAACCAAGAGGCAGATGATCAGTGATGGAGGTCCCAGATGAAGCTGGCCAGGGGAATTAAAACCTACTGAGGAACTAAGGGCTCTGACAGATAATTTCCCTGGGCCGATCAGATTGTTTTGCTGAGAACTTTCTCAGTTGCTGCCTCAGACAACTCAGAACTCACCCCACACATTTCCACATTCATGTCTTTCATTCTTCTCAGTAAGAAAACATCCTGCCTGGCAAGGAGGAAAAGGGGGAAGAGGCTTTAACACTTGAGAATTGTTTTCTCTTTCTAGCCTAAAACCTGAAGTTTGTTTTCGCTCTGTTAGGTGAAGCTGGTAGACGGCACTGATGCTCCAATTGCCAATGAAACCATCACGATTTCTGTGGATGGAGACAGATACAAAGGGAATTACACTACAGATGAGCAGGGACAATCCTGGTTTTCCATAGACACTACCACCTTCACACAAGCCTCCCTGGAAATCCGAGTGAGTGGCAGAGACAGGGCAGAGGGATTGGGGTAAGCTTCTGTCTTTCTGATCAACACAGGAAATATCTATCCATAGTTTATCAGTCTTTCTGCCAATCAGAAGATAAAGCAAGTTTCTTGGCAGGTCACCTCTCTTCTCTGTGTCTCCTGTGCCATAGTCTCTACTTTCTTTTAAAAATGAGAAATATAGAACACGCACAGAATTTTTCTGTGGACTTTCATGTGACTTGTTACCTGGTTTTTGTCAGCTGTGAACTTTTTATTCTTTTTTATCAGGCTGATCATAAACCTGAACTGAACTGTTATGACAGCGACTGGATCACACCTTCGTATGAGCATGCGATGCGTAGAATAAGTCGGTTTTACTCCCCCAGTAAAAGCTTCCTCAAAATTGAGCCAAAGCCTGACACATTAAGTTGTGGCTTCCCCACGGAGATCCAGGTGCACTACATCTTCACACCAGAGGCCATAGAAGAGCAGAAGAAAATTGTCATTTACTATTTGGTAGGAATTGTTTGTGGTTACTTTGATTTATGACCACAGAGAGCAGTGTGGCACATATAGCTACCTTCCATGATGAGCAGCTACAGCACTGCTATATGGTCAGTCCTTAGCCAGTAATGATAGAGTTTGAAACTGAAAGTGTGGCCTGTGACAGTGGGATTTAAACACATTTCCGTAATGTTTCTCATGTCGTCTTCTGTGTGCAGACATAGGGAGTACATGTTTTATTAAGAACAGACAACAGACAAAATGTTGATGGAGAGAGTATTGTCTTGGGCACAGCCATCTAAGACTCTCATTTCATAATATTCCACTCCCAGTTTCCCCTATTCCAAATTCTGGTTCATATATGATCACAGCTAAGAAACCAGCTTCCTACAAGAAGAAGATGAAAGATGAGGAGGAAAGCTGTCTCCTACTAGGTTTTGTCCTTTGGTAGTCATCTGACCACTGAAACTAAAGCAACACCTCTAAGTACAGCAGCAGCCAAGCCCAATAAGCTTAGAGTTCAGGTCGTATATCAGGCAATGATGGAAAGTTTGAGATACCACAGTAACTGGAACAGACTATAACATGCTGGCATTGAGAACCATGTATTGATTCATTTTGGGGGGCAGAGAAGAGAGACTAGTTCAGCTGTGACTGAACAATGATCTATCAGTTTCTCTTGGGAGAATAGGAAGAATCAGATGAATATTCAAATAGAACTTCTTTCCCCCTAAATTTGTTTTTCTGGTTATCTCATTTAATGATACTAGCAGAAGAGATGAGAGTAGCCTTGGAGATCTAGAAGAAATCAGTGGAACAGACACTCTTGTTCTGATGGACTTTACAGAACATTGGAGGTGGACTTAGACTGGGATTATAATAGAGAGAATAGAAACCTGTGGTAGAGGTGTGCTTATTTTCAAGACTGCTAACAATAAATTGCCACACAAGATTCTTGTTGTAGCCTGGGAAAGCTGGTCTTGAGTATATACACACATGGCAGGTAACCAAACAGTGAGGGAATTTATGTTTTTATAAGTATGGATCCTACACCTTGAAATTAAAACATGGTGTTATGGAATAGATATCCTACATGGAAAGAATTTGTATAAAAGGCATTTTTGGTTGTGAAGAAGGAAACTTTTTCTAGAAATGAGGAAATTACAGCTAGCATTCAGGCTGTGGCTTACTACCTGACTTCAGGTACCTTATCCAAGCTCTTATTATTTACAGCCTGTGCTCTTCTATTCCAACTCTGTATGAGTTATGAATATGATTACATTTTTCTCCAGACTGTTTCAGAATGCATCTGAGTGTGGAATGAGGTGAACTTTTGATCCTCAGTCTGTTCCAATTTATTGGAAATGTGCATATAACCCAAAACTTACATGTACTCAGAGGCAAAATGCATTTGAACCTGATGTATCCATGCAGTACGTACAAAAGGGAAGCCAGGTCTGACCAATGAAAAAGCATCGGTCCTCAGAAGAGGACATTTCCGTCTCCAAAGACACAGTAAATTTCAGTCTGGCACTTGCTTCTTGGTTTTTCTCACAGTTGGCAGTGCTATTCATACTCACACTCTACAGTTAATCCAGTGAATTTTCATCCTCCGTCCCTTCAACACCAGTAGCAACAATTACAGGAAGGTTTCTCTGTCACGCAGGTGATGGCCAAGGGAGTCATTGTATTAGCAGACACCATGATCTGACTGTGAATCCTGGAGATGGTGAGCAGAACTATGCATATTTAGCATCTCCAATGATAATTTGGGGGTGGGCAATGTAGAGAAAATATTTCCATTACAACATTTAATGTTTAAATTAAAATTCATTTTCAAAATAGAATCTCTTTAAATTAAGTGACTTGGGCTACTTTTTTTTTCTCTGAGTTCTGTCAGGTGCTGTTTTTGACCAGAAAATTTTAGAAAATTCAACAAAATACTTGCATAATATTTTGGTCATTTTTTCCTTAAACCAACACTTTCTGCTGACCACCCTACCCTGTTCAGATTGTGGATGTTTACCAGTGTTGTGAGACGCACAGGTATAGTGAGCAGGAAGAAGAATGTGTCTCCTTTCTCTCTCTCACTTCCCTTGATTTTTTTGGTACTGTTTCTCCCTTATAAGCATGCAAACACACACATACCTATATTCTAACCAATATATTTAACTATTTTCATATAAATGTCCAAGGATTACACATTTCAGTAACTAAGGCTGGCTGTAATAAATCTTTAAAAGTCTTTCAACAATGAGACCAAGGAGACATTTTGGAAGTCTATGAGAAGGAGTTGCACTGCAGTGGGTATAAACAGTATATGGGAGATCTTGCATGCTGCATGTTCATAGAAAGTTTTGCATCCTCACTAGTAGTAGTGACAAAGCTAACACCCTGGCTCATAACAAGAGATGTTCCATCACCTTTGTCCAGATTGCGACATGAAGCTCAGGCCCAGCTAGGAAGCATCTTTCAACTTAGAGGAGCACTTTCCACTGTGGTTGGAGCAATAGCTTGGTGTTCCAGCTAAATGCTTGCTTAGCAGTAACTTTGCAAAGTTATTCTTTCAACCATTCTGCAACCTTGACTGCTGCCACCCAACAGTCCCTTATTTCTGCATTTTTTCCCTCCTCTATTTTTTGTAGATTGCAGAAGATCTTGGGGCTTGAGGAAGAAAGGGGTTGGGAATATCAAGAAATTATGCCAGATGTTAACTGGGGAGAATCTACAAGACATGTTGAGGCCCACCAAACTCATCACATTTGGCTATTACATGACCAGTGTTTGAATGCAGGTGTCTTCAGCAGCAGTGATAGACTTCAGTCATGTATCAGTATTCCTGCCCCTGCTAACAAAAAATGTTCATCATAAGTGAACTTGACTTTTTTATCTGGGGAAGGCAAATGCATATACTGGAACTTCTCATATGTTGCTTAGCCTTTTTTCTCTCTGTTAGCTTATGGCACATTTCAGTTGACCTTTCCTGTTGGGACGGCAATTGCTCCCCTGGCACGGATGCTTGTGTATACCATCTCACTCAGCGGGGAAGTCATCGCCAGTTCAGCAGATTTCCAAGTTGAAAGTTGCCTCCCCAATAAAGTGAGTATAAGGGTTTATGCAACCCATTTGTCTCATGGCCAGTAGTTCAGTTATCAGTTCCAGTATGGAGGCAGACTTCACAATGGGTTTATGAAATGTTTTGACAAGATGGTCACTGAGGATTAGTGGGTGAAACTCCAGAATAAGTCACAAAGCCGTGACTATAAAAAGTGGAGCAAAAGAGAATAAGAAAGAGAATCAATGGTCATTACTAATTACATTGGTCAAAGCTGAATATATATTAGAAGGGCTGCATGGAACTAGCAGAGCTCAGTTCACAAGGCTAGATGTTTCAATATAATAGCATGTAACAGCATCTGGAGAAGCATCTGCTTTAACTTCCTTTTGGGGTTGCAGGTCACACTGAGTTTTGTACCCAAGGAAGGTCTTCCTGCCTCCAACACACGCCTGCAACTCCATACCTCACCAAGCTCCCTGTGTGCCCTCCGTGCTGTGGACGAGAGTGTTCTCCTCATGAAGCCTGAAAATGAGCTCTCTCCCAACTCTGTAAGTCTTGGTTATTTCTGGTAATGAGCACGTACAAGAACAAACCAGTTCTTCAACTACAACTAACACCACTATGGACATGAGGCCATGTATTTTTATAGGTGCATTCACTACACTTGTTTTTTAGAAGCTGGCTTTTGTCAAAGGAGTGTTAGGTAATGTCTGTGTCCCTGTAGGTGCTGAGCTGCCACACTTTTCCCTGGTTGTTTGCATTTCTCTAGGTGTATGATCTTCTCCCACTGAAGGAAATCAGGGGTTATAGCTTCAAGGACTACTACCTGGAAGAAGACAACATAAACCCTTGTGTGTCACTTGACAACATATTATTAAATGGATTTGTCTACATACCCATTTCTCCTGATGGTGAAGGTGATGCCTATGACATTCTCAAAGTAAGCTCCAGCTTTTTGTTTTAATTTATCATTCCATTTTGGAACACAGTGTCCTCTCCTCTTCTCCCCTGTCCTTAAGGGTTTTTTAGTGAACTTTGCTGTGAGCTTTCTAACATTTGTATGCAAGACAATAACCAGGCCCAGGCCTTACATCTATGTAGCCCGTCATTGGTACCTGAATGCTTCTCTGAACCGTTAAAACTTTGAAGGGTCTTCTCATTGCTAGTAGAAATACCTTTGAATGTACTCAAGTAAGGAAACAGTCCTGGTAACATTGGAAAACCTTCCTCAGTAGTGCACGTTGTCTCTCTTAGGTCTTCAATAAAGTGTCAGTTACTTTGATAACCCACCTATACCCATCTAGAGAGTCCTGCACAAGGCCTTTTGGGTACCCTCAAGCTAATGCTTTTCACATATGTCATTTTCACCCAGACAGATGTCCCCAAGGTAGACCTGTGGCCTTAGCTTTCCATCTGATCATGTCAAGATTTAGCCTTAGGATGACTATAACATGATAAAGCCTCAGCATCTGGGTTGAACCAGTCTATCTGGCACTTATATACAAGCTTTTATTATTCTGATCAATATCAGACATAAGTACATCTATTCTTGACATACTAAAAATAGCTTCTTTGCAAAACTGTGTTTGCATATTTTTTGCACTTCTTTCTCTTTGTTTACTAGGAATTGGGCTTAAAAGTCTTCACTAGCAGCAAGATCCATAAGCCTGAAATCTGCCAGCATTACCCAGGACACATAATGGAAAGGAGTTACAGTAGTTCTAGTAAGAATATGTGCTTCATTTTACTTCCCAAGCAACTACCTAAAATTTGCCACCCTGCTTCTTTCCTTCCCTCTACATCTTTGGATATTAATTACACTAGGCAGACCAGATTCTCTTGTCAATAATACTGACCTAATTCAGGATACTCTCCTCTGGCCTCAGTCCTGAAATATAAGACTGATACACCTCTGCCTGCTTATCCCCAGCTATTCAGTTGTGCCTGGCTAGAGCTGCGTGTGCTCGGTGACTCCCATGCCAGCCCCTACAGCAGGGATCCTGCAGGCACTAAGACAGTCTGCCTACATGGGATGGACTGTGCCAGCACGAGGTAGTGGCTTTTTTCCATCAGATCTAAGTCCAGCTATGGAAACCTAAAAAAAGGAGTCTTTACTTCTAGGTAGTCACATTCCAGCAACAACTAAAGGAACAACTAGGGCAAAAGTGGGCCAAGATAAATGAGAAGGTGGTACAATTCTGTGGGTAGATATTTTACCACAGAGAGCTGAAAAATTTGGTTCTGTTCCTGGCTCTCCCACTCACATGACTGTAAGAGGATGGGTAGGTCACATTACTTCTCAGCAGCTTCAGTGACTTTCAAGACAGAATAATGATATTACTTTTTTTTTTAATAGTTTTGAGATTAGAAAGGCTATATAAAACACTCTCACCTACATCACTTCCAGTCACTGACTTTTGTGGTGCAGTATCCCAGCACCTATTAAAAATGATAGCTTTTGGTCTCGTGATAGCTTCTAGCCTTCTATTCATAACAGGTCAGATCAGATCTTTGGTTTTGAAATGCAGGATTTGTCTTCAGAGCATGGCCTGAGACAACTGGCTGCTTTGAGAAGGTGTAAAGTCTTCTAAGGCTAATGGAAAGCCTTTCATAAGGCACAACACTATGCAACACTGTGAGAAAGCATCTCCCCGTTCTGGAACCGTTGTATTTGCTAATGACCAGAGACGTAAAGACCCATATTCATCTCAAAAGAATCTTAGCTGGAGGACAGGAGGGCTAAGTGTGGCTTCTGTATAAATGTATAAATGCAATCAATTCTTCAACCAAATTTAATAAACTATGTGCAACTGTAGTATCTGGATGCAGTAAGTTCCACATTTGATTCTGTATTGCTATAGAAATGTACCCTCAATAACATCATCATACATGGCTCTTTTGGAACTGCTGGATTTGCTGGCAGTGAGGGAAGAATGCTCAACCCTGTCCAACCTCTGTAAGAAGAGCAGCAACATCAGGAAAAATGAAATATTGAGATGACAACAGAGAAATACATTTGTTTCCAGTGGCCAAGTTTTCAAAGCTGTTCTTTCAATTTTAAAATCTTAGCTAAGAATAACCACTACCTGGAAGAAAAGTATCCTCCTGATTTAGAATGGAGTTTGACATGTCTTTTCCTTTCTCCCTGTCCTTGAACAAATTTGCTAGTCTTGAATCTGCTTGAAGATCTGGACTATGAAATAACAGAACATATGGCTGCTGACAATCTTGTGGAGACCATCCGGAAGTACTTCCCTGAGACATGGATCTGGGACATAGTTTCAGTGAAGTAAGTGTTTATGGGAATGTAGAGTGTGGTCACTGGGGCAAAACCTCAAAATACATTTAAGCCTCGGTGGAAGTATCAGTATTTCAGTGAGAGGGCTATTTCTAGTTAGACAGAGGGATTTTTCAAGGTCACTAAGTACAGGATGCTTTGGGAGGACATGCAAAAGCCAGTGCCTATATCCCAACTGGTCAGGAGTTTGCTGTCAGCAGGTGTTGTTCAGTAGGCTTAGAAAAACATAGATGATCCCCAGAATATAACTGAAATATTGTTCTCCGTCCCTCGCCAGCTCTGAAGGGAATG